TTCTCTGTCCATGGAATTTTCCAAGCAAGAATACTGGAGTGGATTGTCATTTCCTAATTCAGGGGATCTCCCCAACCCAAGGATGGAACCTGTGTCTCCTGCATTTGCAGGCAAGTTCTTGACCACTGAGTCACCTGCTGCTGCTGCTAAGTCTCTTCAGTCATGTCCAACTCTTAGCTACCCCATGGACTGCAGCCCACCAGGCTCCTCTGTCCATGAGATTTTCCAGGCAAGGATACTGGAGTGGGTTGCTGTTTCCTTCCCTATGGCTTCTGCTTAAAATTAGCTATGTATTCTCAGTGGAGAATAAATCCTTAAAAATGACAAAGTTCAAAAAAAATAAAAATAAAAAAATAAAAAATAAAAAAAAAATGACAAAGTTCTTCCAAATTTTTATTAAAGCTCCATCACCAGCAATACAGCAGCCTATATCCTCAAATGCTAATGGGACTCATTCCATCACAGGCAAACCTAATTTAAGGCTGCTCTTACAACTAAACCTAATTTAAGACTGCTCTTAAAATTTACTAAACTCCTACCACATAAGCCACAGTTATGCTATTTATATCCAGACATAAAATCAAAGAGCTGAAGTATATCGACAATAAGGAGTTTTAGGTTTAATTCGAAGTAAAATACTGTTGTGTTGCTCATTAACAGTCCCTGAACACACAAAGCAAGTTTCCTTCTAACCCTAAGTCCTTCCTGCTCGTCCAGAAGTAATCCATCAATGGTGTTTCATGTGCATCTTTCCAGATATTTCTCTGTATCTTACACAGTAGAAAATAACCCCCCCCTCCCCAGGGGAAAGCACGCACGCAGTCCCCCACTACCATAAATTACACAGTCGAGTTTCCCCTATTTGAGGAAATCGCAGAGGTCAACACACCCAGATTGCAATGGGTGAGCCTCGCCGTGGGAGAACCACCTTCTTGATCATGGTATCTCCTCTGCCAGGTAAGTATTGAAAATAAACTTCTATAATATGTGAGCTGATGAGAAGTGCTAAAGAGCAATTAGAAGGCTAAGTGAGAGAAAACAACACTGAGGTGATGGCTTTTGAATAAGAACGAAAATGAACTGAGGAATCCAACCTGTCTGGGGAAGAGACCCCTGTCCCCGGCCCCCTACCAAAGGCTTTTGAGGTAGGAATACGTAGTGTATTCAAATCTCAGTTAAGCAGGTCAGTGTGGCTGAAGCAGAGTAGTATACAATTAACAAGGAGAGGAGGTACACAACAGATATAGCACATGTTGTAAATCACAATACAATTTTGACTTAATGCTGAAATAGGCAGTTATTAAGTGAGTTTCAAACTGGAAACCCAGGTGATAATTTTTCAAACATTATTATTTTAATAGGATCAATCTAGCTACCACACACTGGGGTGGAGGTATAAAAGAAATATAATCTATTGCAATAATGTACCAAAGACAAATGATGGCTTGAAACTGGATCAAGTCACAGCAGAAGTGAATCCTTGTTATAATTAAAGGCAGAAATGATAGTGTTTTCTACAATGCCAAAGATGAGGTATGAGAGGGAAAAAAAGTCAAGGATAGCTAATCAAAGTCTGACCTAACTGACATGAAAACACCAGTTTCATTAACTGAAATGGGCAACACTGCAGAAGAAACTGGTTTGAGAGTAGAGCAGGAGTCCAGTTTTGGACTTTTAAACTGATATATACTTAACACTCACGGGAGCTGTCAGGTGGGTAAATGGATAGAGACAATAAAGAGAAGTCCAGGCTGGTGATACATGTTTGGGCATCATCAGCTTATAGATAGTATAGAAAATCATGTGACTGAATGAAATGACCCAGGGAAGTGTGAGTAGAAAAGAGAAGTAGAAGAACACACTTGGGAGAAGGAAGAGCCAGAAAGAGAATAAAACCTGGAAGCTAAGTAGAAAATATTTTTAAAAAGTGGCAGCTCAACTGGTTAAATCATACCAACAAGACTGATAAGGACTGGAAAAGGACCACTGGATTTAGTAAACCCCTCTGGGTTACATATTTTTTAAAACCATAAATTATACAATTACTTCTTTTCTCCCAAGTGAAACTCACTTTTAAATGTTTATTATGCTTATTTCCCTGAAGAATGTTGCTACAACCAAAGAGTCTTCAAAATTATCCTACAAACCTGTATCTACCCAAATAATTACCTTGGATACTTCATGCTATTTAGACTGTTGAAAACTGAACAAAATAGTTTAACAATGATATCTTGCTTACAACTTGCTAAAAACTGAAGTCCAGAGCAGTTTTTTGTTTAGGCACTTTAATCAAATTAAAGGTGTTTTTCTAGAATACTTCACATATCAAGTACAGTCAATCTAGTATGATTAAGACTTGCTATCTATAGTTTTAACTGCCTGCGTTGAATCCATGCCTCATGTGACATTTATTGGGTATGTCTAACTTATGGCAAATTATGCAAATCTGCACACAAATAGTCTCATCTCCAACATGTGAAAGACAGTAATATTTACATAAGGTTATGATGACTAAGTTAACACAGGAACTTTAACAGCAATGAACACACGGTAAGTTTCCCATTTACCACTTTCAAGAAACTGAAGATTTTGTACTTCATTTTTCCTTTCAAATAGGAAAGCTATTATGTCAGGTCTGATTCAACAGGGGTGTTAGAGAAATAACTAACTTCCTAAAGCCTAACTAAATATCCTCTTCAAACTCTTGTTCATCAAGACACACAAAGAAATCTCATTTGAAAAACCAGGGCCAAGTGCCCTCAGGCCTAGGATTACTACCTTCTTCAAGAGATGAATATAATGGCCTATTATAACAGGTCTTCTAACCTGGTCTTTAGTCCTACTTACACTTAGTCTTCATCAACATTCCCCACACAACTGCCAAAAGGAAATTCCAAGAAAGTAACCAACTCTCTCTAATCTCCAAAGTCCTCAAACAAATTCCTATTGTGTCCAAAGTAACCTAGATATTAAACATGGGCCCATATACTATGCTTGGTTCTTGCCTACTTTTCCAACCTCACATCTTGTTCTGTGTATTCTTGGTGACTATCTTCTAGAAGGATTTCTTGAAATGAGGCCAACTCCCTCCCACCCACCCCCACCTATTTGGGCTTTCTAAAATAATCCAACTTCTGACTTCAACATCAGCTCCTAAGGTCTCTGCTGGCAGCACCCTTTCACTGCCATATCTGTATCTCACTCCCTTAACTATCATCTCTTTTCCTTCATGGATTTAGACTGTGAAAATGCTGTTCTTTTCTCTTCTCTCAATGGGCTATAATACTCAAGAGGGCAGGAGACAGTATGGTTTGCTCACCTGTATACGCCCAAGCCTAATGGTGATTTTCAGAATAAGCATTCAAATGTTTAATGAACAACATTTCTAACTTGAAAGCTGGGAATCTTCCCAAATCTGTCACTCTTCATATCACAGCCACCACCAAATCCTAAATTTACTGGTTCCTAATTCCAATACCATGGCTTTTGGCAGTGATATTTGCCCAGTGAACAGGCCAGTAAAGCCAGTTCATTATTCTTCCCTCTATTCCAGTTTATCATCTACTCCAATCTCATTCTCCTCTACGCCATTTCCACATGGCTATCACAATGACATTTCTAAAAACGAAAATCTGATGTCACTCCTCAGTTCAGAATCTTTTAATAGTCGTCGGTTTCTGGATAAAGTACAAATTCCTTGGCGTGGTATTAAAATTTTTATAATCTGGCCTTAACTCTCTAAAAGCCTTTCCTGACCTCTTAAGAGTCAATTAGGCACCCATCTATTGCACAGTTCCATAGGCTCTGTGCCTACCTTTAACCACAGTGACATTATCTCATCCGTCTCCCTCACAAGGCTATGAGTCCCTGAAGAACTATTACACCTTTTTGCATTCCGCAAACCAGAAGAACATGACCCATAAAATAATGGATTTGTAAAAGGATATCAATAAAACCTGGACCTAAAAGAAAATTTTCCATTCCTCTTTCAGGTAACCTCACGACATTTTACTTAATTTTCTCCCATTTTGTTTTCCTTTAGGCTGCCTTCAGTTTTCACTTTAACTAGATTTTACTTTCAACAGGAGTAAGGGGAGGTGTCAAGTATGTGATGTACTCCAGCACAAACAGCAGTAAGTATACCTTTAAAAACAACTCACTTCTCCCCTGGCCTTATCTCAGCTCAACATTAAAGCAACTCTCAAGTGAATTATCAAAACATTTCACCGCTGTCAGTAAAATATTACTGTGTGTTAGTCACTCAGTTGTGTCCTACTCTCTGCGATTTCTACAGGTTGCTATTATTTTTATCACTTTGACTATCCACATCCTTATTAACCTCTGCATTTTTCATGTGAATATTCAGTCTTACTAACCTCTGGAACACAGTCAATTCCCTAATATGTAGCTGGGCCACAAATAATCACTGAAAAAGAGGTCAATCTTTGATCTTTCCTGGTTTGGATACAGAGATTATACAGATTTTCCTGCTTTCTGAGGTTAAAAAGGCTATTTATCCTTTTCTTTTTAAAAACCCTTCCAGTCAGATAGCATTTCAATATCAAAGTGTGTTTCTTGTGGGTTGATTCACGCTAAATTTTAATGACAAAAAAGTCTAAACTGAATACAATTCAAAATTATTGTCACAATCCCAAGGAAGATTACTCTAAAGACAGAAAATCTTTACTAATTTGCAATAATCTAAAAAAAGAATACCTAATGTTTTTGTCTTGCTGATAATTAAAACATGCTATTTTCACTCTAAAATATATGTAAACTTCAGCTGCTCTTTCATTTAGTAAAAACCCTCAGGACCCCAAGTTTGACACTTGTAATTCCATTAGTTTACAAAATCCTGAAGGGTCCTTCCTTAGGAAACATCTTGAGATACACACACAAAAGCCTAATCCAAACATTTCCAGAAGCTATCACCTGCACCACATCAACTTAAACAGGTGTTATTTCCTAGTCTTTCCAATGAAACCAAGTGGACCTCACACCTCTTACCATCACCCAGGAAGGGTGTGCATCTGTTCCGAAGGCCCCCCTGGCTCCAGGTCATCCTGGCTGCTGCTGCTCCAGGCTGGGCATCCGTGTTGCTGCAGCTTGTGGTTTGTGACGGGTAGTGTACAGGAAAAGCAGGATGGGATTTCAAGGGAAACAGGAGGGGGATGGCTTTCTGGGAAAATGCCATCACCGTCATAGGTGTTAAGTAATACCACACACATTTTATTGCAGCACAGTTTAAAAATTTAACAAATGAAAGATTAAAAATAAAAAAAAACAAAAATAAAAAAATAAAAAATACAGACGTCCAGAGATGCTCTAAAACAGTTAAGTTAAAGATCAGGAAAAATAAGGTCACAGACTTAACAGCCAGTAAAATTCTTTCGAGCGTGGGGAAGGGGATAAGGGCAAGGGGGGAGGGTTGGGAGAGAAAAGGTTTATGTGATCAATCCACTTAAAAATGCTAATGCCTTCACTTTCTCTCCCAAGATGTAAAACTCCAAAGTCAATCAGGAGGCCGGAGAAATTCTTAATGAACATTCAGAAAAACTCGATTTTAATCCGGTTAAAAATCATCAGTGTCATTATCATCATCATCATCACCATCATTAAGTATAATAATAAATAATAGTAACTAGTAACAACAATAAAAAGGAAATCAGCGGAAAGTCAGGAAAAATGTAAAAAAAAAATTGGAATAACTTACTGTAGCTGAAGATCAAAAAAATCTCACTGTAAAAAAACAAAAATAAAAATAGCCCAGATTAGAAAAACGGGAGGTGCAAAAATGTCAAGTCAGTAAAGTTCATTTCTTTTCTCTTTCCAAAAGCAGTTTCCACAAAAACCGCAAGGGTAAAGTTCTCAGTAGCAGACAAGCAAAGCCCTTTCCACATCATCAATCAATCTTAAAAATACACGAGGAAGTAGAGAGGTCAGTTTATGAGAGGCTAAAAGGCTCCTCCTCCTCTAACCCAATTGCTGCAGAAAAAATAGAAATAGAAATTTAAAAATTACATCTTAAATCCAAGTCCCGTTTTTGGAAACAATTGAAAAAAAAAAACACCTGTAATTTGCCATAGTGCACACCAAGTTGCATCATTATGTTTAAAATGTCTTTATAAAATCAATTTTGGAATGGGAATGTGTGTGTTCTGGAAGGGTGGGGAAGGGAGGTTAAAAATCAAAGCTGAGCTCCAGTGAGTAGGGATGGGGTTCGCCTTGCTGCCCTGTGAAAGGAGAAGGGACAGATTGAGTCAGAGTTCCTCAGAAATGTTGTGCCCTAAACCCCCAAGACAGAAACATCTGTCCATTTCATGTAACATTCTGGTAAAGCATTAACATCCCACTGGATGGGGAGAGCCTCTATAGAATTATCACCTCTACCAGTGACTGGATTCACAATTCTTCAATGTCAGTAGGTGACTATTTTAATTACATATGCACCTATATTCCCTTAAGGGTCTCAAAAAAAATCCACATTCAAATGCTCATCTTGATAATCAGTTTGGCAAAAGAAAACTTAGAAAAACCAGGTAAACAGAGATGAAGTGAGCAAATGTCAAACATCAGAAAGCAGATTCGTGTTTTAAATTTTAGGCCCAGGTAGCTTTTCCTACCATACAAACTGAAGGGGAAGGGTCTACTCTGAAGATACATACTAGAGATGACATCTAGTCTCAAAACAAATGAGTGGTCAATCTGTAAGACCTGACAGAACCTGTCAGGGAAACAGTTTACATAAAGAGCACATTAATCCACTCAGTAACAGAATGAAAAGTCAGATGAAGGAAAAAAGATTATTATGGCTACTGACTATACAATGTTAAAAAAAAAAAAAAAACAGGCAAAAAGTACATGTTTCTTTGTGGTCCCACTGTTTACAAATAGTACACATGGTGAATTCCAAGATAGGAATTCTAAGAATCTGATACCTACCACAACAGACTGGCTAAGATTTGCAATTAGATTGTAGGTCTTTGAACAAATAAGAATGACTGTACTTGCGTTTTAATATTCAGCCATGAGATTTTATTCTATCCAAATGTCAGTGAACTAAAAAAATTTAAGCTGAGCTTTTAAAAAGTGTTCCTTAAATCAATTACAAATTAATGACTACGGCAATGAAAAAGGTACTATTAACTATTTTTGAGAAGTAGCAGACCACAGAAGCTACTTTTACGCTTAGACTGTGTTAAATTTTAGCTGATGTGTTAAATTTTACAAATGTACAAACTATTAAAAAAAATTTACAGAAAATGTACAATTATTTGAATGTACATTCAAATATACATTCTAAATGTGTTAAATGTAAGGGATGTTCAGTTATGGTGAGACATTCAGTTTTCTTCTTTGGAATCACAGCCTGAACTTGTACTCAATAATGTCAGGATGTTAAATAACTGGTTCATCTACAAACAAATCCTCGGCAAACATGTTATAAGCTTAAAAAATAATGTGAAAACATTTACATCTTTCAAATTCAAGAACTTAAGATGTCTCCCAAGATGCTATGTTTAATTGATGAGCTACCCCTCATAAAAATGATTAACCAAATTGAACTTAATTGTAACTTTTGCAATTAATAGTACACCTGTAGTTTTGTCAAACCTCTAGGAGATTTGCATCTTCTAAACGGGTATTCTCAAAGTGAGGGCTGCCAACCAAGATAGCGTGGCACATACTAGAAATGCAAATTAATAGGGTCTACCCCAGACTGAATTTATTAGAAAGTGGTGATGGAGAGCCCAGCAATCTGTTTTAACTAGCCCTCTTGCTGGTCCTAATGTCTGCTCATGTTTAAAAACTACTGTATAGAGTTTAATAAAGAATCTCTATCCCCAATTAGGATCAAAACATAGTAACTCGAAGATTATAACCTACCACACTAAATGCCATACCATAAAGCCGTACAGAAATCACTTTTCCCTTTATAAACCTCAGATTTCCAATAGAGAACACATGAAGCTATGCTACATCTTAAAGTTCTGGTTTTCACCATAGTCAACTATCTAGTAAATCTATTATGTACAAAATTTTAAGCCTCCCTGATCCCAATGAGAATGAATGAGTATATATATTAAGTATGAGCAAATAATGCTCCCCAAAGACAATAAAATGACCTTAAGATTGAAATATTGTTATTAAGACAGTTAACAGTAATTACTAACATACAAAAACTGCTGTCAACAAATAAAACTATTTCTGTACACTATTTAGCCTTCTGGCAACAAATGAATTACAGAAAATAGAAATTAAGAGGTAAGAAGTCTAAGACCCCTTATAATTATAAAACTGAATTTCAGAAAGTTTAACTGATTTGCCTAACAGGTAGGTAATAAGCAGCAGGAGGGGAAAAGTCCAGTTCTCTTAACTCCTAGACCAGGGTTCTTTCAACTGTCACACTCCCCATGTAACATCCCACACATCCACCAGTTAATATAAATTAATCTTTAAGATTAGAATAACTAGCTATTTTGGAGCTTATTCCTTGCTTGTTTCTAACAGAAATTCCATCCAAAACAAGGTCACACACTATGCAAAACCCTCTAGAGACCTAATCAAAAATACGGTGTTTATATCCTCTACCAAAGAAAACAGCAGGAGGCATTAAGCATGGGAAACACAAAGAGGTCCTCCAAGTTTAAGAAGCCATCCTTCTTAAATCCCTCTTCTCCAGCCAACATGAAAATGTTACTAATGCCTATCTATTTGAAATCAAATCTAGAATTATTTCAGATATCAATTTTGTGGCCAAATCATTCCAGATGAGTGATATTAAACTGTTACCTTGGTACATGCTGATCCTAAGGAACCCATTTCTAACACCTCAAGGCAAGAAAAGTGCCCTTCAAATAATTTTAATTTCCATTTAAGGATTTAACCATTCTTAAATACTAATTTCTTACATTTCTCTTTATTTGCCAACATTAGGTGTATGATTTCCTTAGTCCATGTGACAATATAAATGCTTAAGCTTTTATTTTTTTCAATGGCAAAGCTTTTGATTCCTATTACAAAATCTATATGGTAAGGGATCACTATATAGCTACCTAGAGTAACAGTTTTAGCTTCTGTTCCTAAGGGACAAATATACCCAATCTGGGCTTAAACTGTGCTTAACATCACTTTTTGTGAATGTTTAACACATTATGAAAAACAAAATCACCTAAATCTTACACAAAGATTAAAAAAAAAGAGGTTTCTTGGATAAGTGAATGTGGTACTTTGAAGCTCATGCAATTTTTACAAACTTGGCAAAAATTGTTTAGTAATTTTTGCAAATAGTAACCACCGTTATACCTGCTTAACAAAAAGCATATAGTTAGGCATTTTTGCCAACTTTGGGATGGTCCGGAAAATTAATGCCAGAATATCCCGAAAATCAAACTGCACAAAATCTTAGGACGTTACAGTAATAAACGCAATACTCAGAATCTTTTCCCCAAGAGCAGTTTGGGCATTTCCAGTTGCCGCTAGTTCTTGCTGTAATTACTTTTAGTATCCACTATCCACCGGGGTTCACCTCCTGAAGCCACTTGACTTAACCTGGCGACCAAGTTCCTTACTAGTTCGGCTGATTAATATGACCCAGGCAATCAAAACTCATGCCTCGGTTTCTGTCTAAGAAAGATAGTAATACCTACCTCAAGCAAGTTCCACTAACTTATTTATTTCAAGTGATTTGTAACCTGCAGATAAAAATCCAGCTTTAATTATTACTGTTAATATGTAAATCAGATTACAATTTTTTTAAATAAAATTGAAAATATTTCGAGGTCCATCATTTGTTCAGAGATGCGTAAACTAAAAAGTAACCAATAAAATATTAAACCTATTGTTTTCATATCTATACCCTGCGGTACGCTCCAGAATTTGGAGGCTTGCGGTCAAAAAATTTGATAACCCTTCCCCATCCCCCACTTAATTTTAAAATTTAACAGGAAGCATAGGCACTACATTAACTGAACTACATTCATGAGCATTTTTGATCAGCCCTTTCACAATCTCAGAGTCCTCATGGTCACAGAAAATGAAAGAACAGCCGTTAACACAGGAGAGCGAAAAAGAAAAACAGCATTTTCCCTGCCGATTGTGGCCTAGAGGACACTGGGTTAAAAATCTACGCAAGGGCTGAGGCCTAGAAAACTCCGCGTACGATCTAATCCTGCAAACCAGAGAATAAATGGGAGCCTGCTTACTCTACCGAGGGGAGGGTTCCCTCGTCCTCTCTCCCATTCCACCACGCGCTCCTCAAAGAACCTAGCGCTTCCCCTTACGCTCCCTCCACTTACCAGGAGGGGGAAGGGAGAAGAGATTCGATTCTGAATCTCCTACCCCTGGGTTCTACGTGGAGAAGCCGATTGCTGCTCGAGGTCGGCAACGCGGTCGCAATCGCTCAGTCTTCGCCTCTTCACAAAATGGCCCCCGAGTCTCCTCTGCCGCCGAGGCGAAGGTCTAGGCCCGCCCCACTCCTGAGAATCCTCCTATTGGCTGCGAGTTTTCTCGCTCCCGCTTCTCATTAGACAGTTCTACCGCTCTTCACAATTATATCCAATCACAATCAGCAGTGGGTTAGACTAATCTAGAGAATTTCCACATGCGTGGGAGAAACTAGTTTGTAACTGGTCATAATTCCTGTCACTTATCTTCTGAGGCATG